TCGGTTTGTATAAATATCCTCCTTGACACAAATATGTGATGCATATATATGCTCATTAAAAAGGGAGTCACAGGGCTGAAAAGACTTAGTTAGAGTGTAGACTGCTCTTGCAAAGCACCTGAGTTTTGTTCCCAGCACCTATGTCAGGTGACCCACAACACCCTGTAACTCCAGCTCCAGGGGGATCTGACACCTCTGACCTCTATGGGCTCCTGCACTCACATGCCAAGCCTCCCCACAGACACATAATTTAAAAAAGACAAGTAAATATTTTTAAAAAGTGAGTCAGTCAGCAGATGTATGTATGGTTCAGGACTTTAATCCAGCACTCAGGAGGCAGAGGCAGGTGTACCTCTCTGTGAGTTTGAGTCCAGCCTGGTCTCTATATCAAGTTCCAAGTTCCAGGCTGGCTGGTTGTTTGGCTCAAACAACCAAAAAAAAGTGTTCTTTTTAAGGAACTTTATTACATAAATGGTTTTACTGACAGTAATGAGTGACTTAAAAGCAAAGGCTCTCCATAAACATACATGTTGAAAATCTGTTCATATGTAGGAAGTCTAATTTTTAACAGGATTTACTTTAGCAAATTATGTATTTCAAAGATCAATTTCACATTTTATGTGTCTATTTTTGAAAGCAAATTATTTAAAATATAGATTTAATGCTCTTTGAAGAGTTTTTAAATTTCTAATATACTTAAAGATCTAAATTGAAAAAAAAATCAATAAATATCGGGACTAAAACGGTCAATGAAATAATAAACTACACTGCATTCTAAAATCATATCATCCTAAATTCTTTTCAGTTTTTTTTTAATGTGCCTTTATCTGTTGATGCTACTCCTTCTTTTCTCCTTCTCACCTTTCTTCCTCCTAACAAAACTATGCAAATAAAAAAGTACAAAACCCACACCAATGGGACGACACCACTTTATACTACAGAAACACTTGAAACTATGCATGAAAGTTCTAAGCAGAGCATTGTGGTGCAGGCCTGTAATGCCAACCCTCAGAAAGCCAGGACAGGACTGCATGATGGAAGCCAGCAGGGGCTATACAGCAAGACCCTAGCTCTAAAAACAAAATAAAATAAAATGTTATTTGAATATAAAAATATTTTAGTTTTAAAAAAAATCACTAACTAGCTACCAAAAGAATAATTTCGATAATAGTTTGTAAGAATTTTTAAACAGTATTTTACCTTATTAGAAAATTAAAGCAAAAGAGCCTATTTCTCCAATAATTATTTTTCTGATTATCTCCCACCATAAAAGTTTAAAGAAACATTAAGCCAGTTGAGTCACTATTTATCAAATAAAGTACAATATTTTGGCTTTATTGCACAAAATATTTAATTTTATGAAACCAACCCCCTCCCAAATTCTTAACTAAATAATTTTATTAATCCCTCAGGAAATTAAGTATATTTAAAAAGAAAAATCACTGAACCTTGATACCGTAATTTCTTTGGGGGAGGGGTCAAAAATCACCATATACTTTGTTTGCCTTATACTCTATTTCTTCTTTCTGTAGTTTTCTAAGGAGGATAAGTTCAAAAACTGAAAAGTACAATTTAAAATCCCTTTCTTTGAGAAACCTTGAAACCTACAAGAAATCATGCTCTATGGTACTACTTCCACTAATTCAATGAGATAAAACAGAAATCCTTAGCCTCCATGCAACGGTGGTATCCCACATCTTATATAGTAACACAAAAGTAGCAACAAAGACATTAACAATTGCAGTTCAAGCTGGGAGTGACTGTTCTGTTTCAATTCAATGACACCACTAATGGCTTCTTAGCAGCTCCATGAAATCAACCAGCTGTCATGTTGATGCATCAGAAGGAACAGTTATGCACTCCCATAAGAAAAAGCAACACATCAGGATGTTTGGCAAAACATCTGCTCCTTAACACTGCAATTCTACAATAAACATGCAAACAAAGAAATGGGAAAAGGGGCAACAGAATTAAAATTCCAAGTTTTCCATTACTGCTTATATACATTTTAAATGAATGGCTTATATAAACTGAAAACAATTTCTGCAAAGTTCAGTATTTTAAGATATTCTAAATTTTTTGAAAATGCTAAATTATACTCAGGTTCTTCCAGAAAAACAAGAACTACATAATATATTTAATCTTAAAGATGTAAACCAAGTCATTATCATGGGGTTATATAAAAATCTTAAATATCAAAACTGAAATACATCCTTTTATTCCATAATATTTAAAGTAATTAATATCAACAGTATTGTAAGAAATTTATTTCCAACACTAACAGCTAATGTACTACATTAATACAGTAAATATATACAATATATAGCTTAATATACAATAGCTTAATATACAATAACTATACAGATACAATTATCTGGATTTTAAAATACATACCTAATTGTATTAATCTTTAAACATTATATGAACACAACATTAAATTCTTGTAAAGAAGTTCCTATTTTTAAAGCATGCAATCTGATTTCCTAAGAAAATATATAATTCTTTGTTACCATAGCTTAAAATAATTTTATATCCAACCATTTGTTTCAGATATTTGTAAAATCTTACTTTTTCTGAGACATACGTGCCTTAAGGTTATCTTGAGTTCCTGATTACAGGGCACAGTGACAATATGTACAGTGTTTACAATAGGTGTGAGACATCAGTGTACTTAACTACCATTTTCTTAAACTGCTTATCCTCTGTTGCTTGCCATTTATAATCTGCCAAATCTTCTAGTCCTTTGTTGCATGTATAATTTAGAACCATCTGTTCTATGTGCTTTTAACTATTTAAACATTTTCCACCTACCTCCAATTCACATAAATGACAGACCTTCATTTCAGTCAAGATTTCTACATAGCATTGTACATACAGCAAATCCTGTATAAATAGTAGAAAACATCAAAGAATACTGCTACAGAAATTTAAAACACAACATTTATAATGTAAGCTTTCCCATATTAGACAAACCTTCCCAATGTATTTGGAATTTTTCTATGAGCTTTAAAAAAAATTAATTGTAGTCAGTGCTTTTCCCCAATCCAGAAGACAAAGAGAATGCAAATTAAATACAGAGAGTTTCATGTCCTTGTTAGAAGAGATGTAAATATGCTGACTGAAAGTGACTACTAGAGTCAGAATTACACGTTCACATTCAATTTGCTGTGCCTCTTATTTATATACTATCAGTGAATGTACCATTAAGTATGGTCATGTGACCAGCTCAACTTTTTTAAGAGAAACTATTTTAGACAAATTAAAATACTAGTTTTATCATTTTTTATGACAGCTGATACTTTATAACTAGATTTATATAACTAGATACTTTATAACTAGAGATTACAAATTACCTTTAAAAGTCAATTCTGCCTTCTGTATACTAAACACATTTTTGCCAATCGTTTGACATTAATGTTTGTTCCTAAACAGTAAAAGTGTCAAGAACCTCGAGGTATTTTCAAGTTTTTTAAATATAAGTAAATACTCAAAAAATAGCTCATTTAATTAAAAGTGGGTGGTACAAAATCTAAGTAATGTATATGTAATGTTATGTATAAGTAATGTATATAATGTAATGTATATGTAAATATTAGCTAAGCTAAATTTTTAAAAATCATGACACCAAGAAAGGAATATATTCGAAATACTTAAAGAATAAACACTATTATGCACAAAAAAAGATGAATACTAAATAGAATAAAAGTTTCTATCATTAAAACAAAAAACCTTCCACTTGTTACCAAACATTAAACATATTTTGTGATCCTGCAAAATAAATAAATAAATAAAAACCACAGAATTTATCGCTAGACGCTTCTGTAAAACGGGGAAAAACTGACCAAAAATTCTTTGGGGAAAATTTCTTGATAAAGTTTACATGACGTCACATGACCCCCTGAACCCTTCCTAAACTTTGAGCCTACCCAGACACTCTCTGCCTTTCTGTAGCTTCTTTCCCTTCCTCAAAATATTAAAAAAAAGAAAAAAAAAAGGGAGCGAGACGGGAATAAAAATTGCCCAAGATGGCGAAACGCTTGTTGTTTAGAGGGCAGGGGGAAAAATGGAGGATATTGTAATATACACAAAGGGATAAATTTCAACAACTCGGCCAAGAGCTGCAGCTGCTTCTCTATAAGGAAACAACACACAAAAGATAAATAGTGAGGGAGTGGGAGATGGAGAGCAATCTCGCAAACGGCAGGGCCAGCTCTGACTCTAAGTACTTCCTTCCCTTTCCAAACCCCAATTCCGGGGTTCGGGGAACTACTTTAGGGGAGGGGGGCCGGGCCAGGCAGCGGCAGGGGGAGGGGAGGGGAGGGCGCGGGACTGCGGATAGCAGCGGAGGCCGGGGCTGGGATTGTGCGGG